CGTTTTAACGTTTAACGTTTAACGTTTTAACGTTTACTTACGTTACTTACGTTACGTACGTTACGTACTTACTTACGTTTATTACGTTACGTCTACTACTACTACTACTCTCTCTCTCTCTCTCTCTCTCTCTCTCTCTCTCTCTCTCTCTCTCTCTCTCTCTTATCAATAGTAAGGTGTATCTATGAGCTATCTTATATGATCCATATGATCATCATAGCCTCATAACGATGAGGTTATCGATCGTCCTGGATGGTGATGGAGGAAGCCTAGGGCTACAAAACTTAATAAGCTGAATATATGGCAATGTCTAAAAAAACAGACCGCCCGGCGCCTAGGCGCCCAAAAAAATTCCGCACGCCTGGACCTGGGCAGGCGCCTATCACAGTTTACGAATTTGTTTTTTTTTAAACTTCTCCCAAAAGGGCAAAAGGGGTCATTTTGACCCCCAAATCTGTATAAAATAAGCTTAGGGGTTTATTTTCAACCCCAAACTGAAAAAAAAAACAAGAAACCCTCAATCTTAAACTTATTTATGAGAATCTAAAGCAATTGCTGAAAATTCAAAAATACTTCTTGTGGATTCAAAAAGTTTGTTTTTCTTATTGAAATTAATGTTAGGGTGCTATTGGTGATATTATAAGACTTTTAAGTTGATGCACAAGTTTACAAAAAAGAGAGAGTTAGTGAGGCCTGAGGTCACTAGATTTGCCACTGCCTACCTTAGACTACAGAGCATGTACAAGAGGAGGATCGCATTAAAGTCTATGTTTGCTTTAGAAGAGTGGAGTAGGTGTAAGTGGTCTAGAGATGCCAAGGGAAAGAAGACACGAGATATTATTCTTTCAAAATATTTTTGGCATAGGGTGAAGCATGCGATATTAGTATTTCTTCCATTGGTGAAGGTCTTGCACTCGGTTGATGCCGATAAGCCCTCCATGGGCTTTATATATGATGCAAAGGAAAGGGCTAAGAATGAGATTGCAGAGAATTTGGGCGACAATGCAACGAAGTATGCCCCAATTTGGGAGATTATAGATGATAAATGGGATAGGCAGCTCCATAGACCATTGTATGCAGTGGGGTACTACTTGAACCCCAAATTCTTTTATGGAGATGCAAATATTGAGTCAAAAGGGGTAATTATGGATGGTTTTAATGAGTGCCTTGAGAAATTAGTTCCTAATCCAAATATCCAAGATAAGATATCAATTAAAGAGCTAATTTCGTACAAGTGTTCTTTGATGTCATTTGGAAAAGATATGGCATTAAGGCAAAGAAACAAAGACGAACCAGGTAATATTCCTTTGACTTATGTACTTTTGTTTTATAAAATATAAATTTATAATTTTCTTTCAAGTTTTGATAATGTTAAATACCTAAATTAACTATAAATGTTGCCCACATATTGCAGCCCAATGGTGGAGACAACATGGGAGTAGCGCTCCAAACCTCCAGAAGATGGCTATGTGGATCTTGAGTTTGACAACTACCTCTTCTGATTGTGAGCGCAATTGGAGTTCGTTTGAGATGGTATTTTACTATTTTACTATTTTAAAGGAATAAAATTTTATTTGCCTTTTTTATTTAT